AAGGAACATCCCCTTGACCAAATATACAGGGTGCAAGATCAATCAAGACATTGTGACAGGATGCTCACACTGCCACCTCTTCCTCCCTCTTTCCACAAGCACGTCCTCGTGCTCCCGCACAGGGTGCCACAAACACTGCCACACTAATATCCGCGATAAACATCTGTATACCGGAAGAGGTTATCTTTGCTTTCTGAATGTCCATATTGCTAGATATGCTGAGTTTTAGGGCGAAATCCTGGGGAATTTTGTCTAGAAATGCAATTGCCTAACCGTGCGCGATCCCGCGGTGGCTAATCATTTTTTGGCAGCGAGTCAATTTATGGCACAACACCGGCTCGGGTTTCTCCTCCTCCTCCCTCTTTTCTTCTCCAACCTGTCGCTGGGCTGAGGCTCCATCACTTCCTAAATTGATTTTACTTGAACCTTCACTACCAAACAACTGTGAGATTTTAACACATGTGCCAGCATCAGCCTGAAGGGCCAGTTTCTTTTTTAGTCGAATTTTCTCCGCTCCTCCTTTCCGTTTTTTGTTCTCCATTTTGTTAAGCTCGTCTGTCTGTTTACTGAGATTCACAAACAACTGGCGGGTGCATCAGACCTCTGGCTATTGGTCCAGCCCAGTGTATTATTACCAATTGGCCAATCCACCAACTTTTACGAGGCGTCGCGTGGGGCAGCGCGGACAAGTTGTCTGCAACAACTAGAGGCCAGGAAAAAAAAAAAAAAAAAACAGACACCGGCCCATAAAAGATGAAAGGGTCGGCCCAGCGGGCAGTTGCCCGCTATGCCCTATGGTCAGTCCAGCAGTGTCACAGACCTTAGACAGGTCGGCCAGCGCCAGGTCCTTTGGGTCAATGCTGCCCCCATCTTCAATGAGGTGCAGGAGGTGGGAGAGGCATGCGTCCGTGGCCGTCTCCTGTGCAAGGAGTGGCCATGCAATGGCAGCAGACTCCAGTGCGTTGCTGCAAATGGACGCCATATGCACTGACTCCTCGCTATCGGTCACGTTCCATGCGCCCATGCAGCGGCCCTCATCAGAGCCAGAGGGCGAGGGATACCTGGAGGCTGCGTCGGCAGCGCAGTTGCTCTTGCCAGGCAAGTGCACAATATCAAAACGCCATGGGAGTGTGCACTGTTTGAGCCTGAACAGGCAAGAGTTAGTTATCTCATCCAATGTCCGGTCCTCAAGGATCTTTACCAGTAGCTTATGGTCGGTGACCACAACCAAGTTGTCGCACCCCTGCGTGAAGTATCTGGTCTGCTCCAGACCCCATGCTACAGCCAAGGCCTCCCCCTCAATAGCAGCGTATTGCTGCTCAGCGGAGGAGAGAAAGCGTGAGCCGGCCAGAGTAATTTTCCATCCATCAGGACAGCAGCCGGGGACACCGGAGCTGCAGGTGCAGTGCTGCTGGAGGAGGAAGTATCCAATGCCACGCCTGGACCAGTCTGGGCGGAGACAAGTGCGCCTCTCCATGTTATAGATCTCTATGCCTGCCCGGATAGTGTCCACGATGGCCAGCTTGGATGCCTGAAATGCTGCCTCTAACTCGGGTGACCACACAAATTTGCATCGAGGGTTCAGAAAGGGCTCAGAAAGGGCTTAAATGGCGCCATTATATCACGCAGCTGTGCGTAGTTGGCCACCTGATTAACCAGACCAAACCAGCTCCTGATGTCCGTGGTCGAGGTAGGCGTGGGGAAGTCCCTGATGGCCGTCAGGTACTTTGGGAGGGGCTCGATGGTAGCATCGGAGACCCTGAAACTGGCAAAATCAACATCCCTCTTGGCAAATTGAAACTTAGATGGGTTCAACACAATTCCGGATCGGCCAACGTGCGTCAGGAAGTCGATTGTTCTCCACCAATGCGTTTTAAGGTCGGTGTCATAGTGGATGGTGTCATCCATGCACCTTTCCGTCCGTTCAAAGTCGGAGAGGATCGCATCAAAGCGGCGATTGTAGCCATCGCCAGACGGCTGAAAGCCCTGTGGGGCTCTGGTGTAAAGCCAGCGGCCGAAGGGAGTGATGAAGGTAGTGAGATGACGGTCTGACTCGTGCAGGGGTACGCTGTGATACCCATTCCAGGCATCAGTGACAGTCTTCCAGGTCCCTTTCGGGATCCGGCACGCCAGGTGGAATGGGGACTCGGTTGCGAAAGTCTCACGTTTGAAGAACTTGTTAAGAGGTGAGATGTTGACGGTCCTGCGGGGGGTTCCGTCATGCTTCCGGGTGACCACCATCCGGTGGCACCAGGTCACTGGTTCGCCATATGGGACACGTTCAATGACGCCCAGGGACTCGTCCCGAAGTTGGTCGTCATGCACCCTCTGTTGCCAATGCAAAGGCAAAGCCGCCGCGGTGAGGTACGTCTTTGGCGTTGCCGCCGGGTCAACGTGTATTTCTATGGGTGGACCTTCCATGTGTAGGGGTTATTAGGAGCGAATAATTAGTAAGTTTTAACTTACTTTTGGATTCTTCAATAAATTCTGTAAATATGGGAATATTTACTGATTTATTAATTAATTAAGCTAATCTTAGATATACGGGGCACCATTCCCCTTCAACCGGGGAAAAATTTAATCCAAAACTCTTATCAGTCTTTCTTGAAGTTCGTAGAATCCTTGGAGCAGAGACTTCTCTTCGACACAACAAAGCTACTGGAGACGAAAATCTGAATTTTATAACATTTAATTGAACAATTTGTCAAATGAATAAACAGTGGCATAAATGAATAATAACCATGTGATATGATTGAAGATGGATGTGTTTGCGTGTGATGGAGGATGTATGAATGAGGTCCTCCGTTCTCACAAAGGAGTGGTGAGTGTGTGTGTGTGTGCGTGTGTATGGATTCAAAATGGAGTCTTGAATACAAGATGGCTGACCCCTTTGTCTGGCTAAAGTGTGGGTGGCAACTTGCACTTTAACTTCCAAAGCACTTAGAATCAGTAGTAACTTAACCTTAAATCACTCAAAACATTTCAAAAGATCATGAAGCTTCACCAAAGATTAATCACGAATTAATATCTTTTAGTTTAACCACTTGGCCATAGTAGGAAACATTTAAAGATACCAAACAATGATTAATAAGCAGTTTATTCTTTCAAAATGACCCGACGGACGTGTTTGGGAACGAAAGAGGAAAACACGAAGCTACTTTTAAGCAATAGACGCGGTTTATTGCTTATTCTGGACTATAGAGGAAACGGGAGAAGGAAAGAATGAGAGAAAGAGATGAGTTTCTGATCACCAGAACAGTGAAGCATCCCTCACTGTTTGATTTGACGGTTCTCCGTGTTTCTCCGCAGTTTGGCGTCGTCCGTCGGTTTGATGGAGTTGTCGCTTTCTCCGTTGTTTGGCGTTCTCCGTGAGTGTTTCTCCACGGGCTGGACACAAAGAGAACGAAGTTTCTTTTGTGCTGAGTTTGACAACTTACAGCGTCTCTGAGAGCTGGATGGAGCTCCGCTCGTTCCCAGTCAGGTCCTGATGGAGTTGGAGTGGCTTTGTAGCGGTTGCGTGGCTCAACTTGGGCACTTAGAGCTTCCGCGTGCTCAAGGGAGTCGGAGCGTTCGACAAGCGTGTCCTTACCGCCAGGTATCCTGGGCAAAAGAACGAGGTTTCTTTGTCTCTGCTGAAGATTTATGGTCTTAGTTCGCGGGAAAAGCTCCACGGCCTCCCGCACATGCACAGAACGTGTTTCTGGTATTAGGCGGTGACATCATCCCAATGCTTCCGTGTGCAAAGCATCATGGGAAATGAAGTTTCTTGGTGCTGATGTGATTATTTGCCTTTCAGAGCAATTTAAGCACAGTCATTTTGGAGAAAATCAATGTGACCTTTACATTAGCTTAACAAGCAGGTGAAGACTTACAGATACAAGTCGAACAGTAGCATGGATAGACAGCAGCGTGATGGTGGAGCAGCAGCAATACAAATGAGAAGCAGCAGTATGTACAGTCAGGGATAGTCACATGTACGTGACTTCAGGCACGTCCCTGCAGGGGATAGTCACATGTACGTGACTTCAGGCACATCCCTGAATACACCTTTTTCTCTCTAGGTTTGATCACCACACACCCTAGTGGCCAGTGGTGACCTCTGCATACCCGGATAAGCGGAGGAAGACAACAACGACAATGTTTCTTTTAAGTACCTCAAGCAGCTGCTGCAGACCAGCACTGTATGGGGAAAATACCACCAAATCATCAGCATACATGAGGTGATTGAATAACTGATTTCCCACCAAGCAACCAGTCCTGCACTCTTTTAATTTAACAGTTCATACATATATATATATATATATATATATATATATATATATATATATATATATATATATATTATGAGCATATCTGGGTTTTTGGCGGTGTTTACATTGCGGAACCGGGTTATTGTGAATATTCGGGGTTTTAAAGGGTTACTGGCTGCATGTAAACACACCACTTTAAACCAAAACTGAGAGTTTGTAGTTCTAGCAAATGGCATCAGTTTGTCCAAAAGAACATGTTCAAGCACTTTAGACAAAACATTAGCCAGAGCTATAGGATGATAATTTTCTGAACTATTACTTCTGCCATTTTTGTCCTAAATTAATTTGGTTGCTGATTAACCAATGATTTAAGGATTTATCAGTTTGAGCAATCTTATTCCCTGTATTTATCTGGCTTATACACCTTTCTGATTGAATTGTAATACCAAGGTATATGGTTTAACTGGGATATTATCACACAAGAGGACCTGGCAGCAGCAAAATGGCGACTTGAGCTCACCTCCAGTCGCACATGATTGCCATCATAGATATAGATATGTATATAAACACTATAGCTGAATCATAATTATGAAATAATGTTTTTTTTATCTGAGTGGCAGGAATGGGCTTCCATACAAAAATGATACATTTTTTTAAATGCCGGAAAATATATTTCAATATATCATAAAATGTGTGTTTAAGAGTCCGAAAAAAGCATCACTGAAATGTTTTCCACGCATGTGTGAAATGACGCAATGACGTTCAAGGATTACCTATCGATGTGGGAGTAGTCGAACAGAAGAAACGGAAGTGTTACATAGAAGAAATCAGTGAGAAGTTTTTTGCTAACTGTAATTTGTTTAGTCGCAGAAACAACGGAAAACACGATTTGGAGAGTAATACATTTTGTATCGTTCGTCATTAGTTAGTCCTTTTGGACTAACTAGTTTTTGTTCTGAGTGAAGAGAAACAAAGTGTCAGGTAACGTTCACTAACTGAACATGCTAACGCTACGTTAGCCACCAGAATAGTGTATAATTGTGTTTCGTTTGCTCAGTAATTTAGCACTTTTCGTAATTAAACATGATTGTGTTAGATAAGTCAATAACGTTAGTTTGATAACGGTAATAGGGGTTTACTGACCAGTGTTCGTTACGGTCTGGTTCATTTTAAAACTACAAGGTGGTGTCTAGTTAAGGTACACGCACTATTTTAATTCCCCTAAGCTTCCTACACCTGAAAAAGATTTAATAAAACTTTAAAATAGTTTATTAAAACTTTCCATATTTTCAAGAGAAATACAAACAGCTGGGAGACAATTCACCGTGTAAAAATGACAGCACTGGTATGTAAACAAAACAATTAGTTATTTTAAATATTTTTAAAAAATGAGTGTTAGATCAGAAACATGTGAATCCATTTGTTTGTGGTATATTACTCGCAGACTGCAAGTGTCTAATATATTCTGCTCCTATCAGCCAGGATGGATCCGGCTCTACTTAGAGAGAGGGAGCTGTTCAAAAAGAGAGCCCTGTCTACTCCAGCTGTAGAGAAAAGACAGACTACGTCCGATTCTGGATCACACAAGAAGAAGAAACCAAAACTAGACAAGGAGAGCTCATCTGGCTCCAAACACAGCACTGGTAGGTGAAGCACTTGCTCTTAACATGGTTCATGATTCTCACAGTAAACATTATTTTGCCGTTGTTGCAAGTTTATGAATCCCATGTTTGTTGCTGGTTTGCTGTCAGTCTTAAAGCATGTGGACTACTAGCCAAGTGAACAAGAACAAATTCCTGCTTTGCAGATTTAGTTAATATATTTAAATAATATATTTATTTAGTCTGGCTTGCCAGACTAGTGGACTACTGCTTTGAGATTATGTAGGTGACAAACAGAGCAAGTGTGACTTAAAGTGTTACACCTGATTTGAGAGTCTTGAAAACCGTATTCCCCACTCCAGATCTTGCTGCTTCTGCCATGATCTCAGTAGCTGCATATCTCTATTGTCACCTTATTTGCTGCCATTTACATCTAGAAAATCAGATACTTTTTAAAAATCTGTGTTTGCTAGCATCTGCCTTAAATAACTTAAAGTTATCACATGTACATTTTAAAAGTTACATTTGATAGTAACCTACAGTTATCATTTAGGCTGAGGATTAGAAGAGAATATGTGTCTGGACCCAAAATGTGACAAGGATGTTGAGTCTAGACTTATTCACTGCAGGATTTGTAGTAATCATGATTATCTGACACATCCATGAAATATCTGAATGAGCTCAAAACAATCAGTGGTTTTACACTGACATCAGTTTGTCGTCTAATGTAGTCCAAGTTTGGTGTGTAATTCTGAGTATAACTTGTTTCTGTGTGTGCTCACTTTCTAATTTCTCCTGTTGTCTTGGTAACAGTTGGGCTTTTTAGCTTGCAAGATGTCACATAGCAGCAGTTTCTAACCAACACACTGCTGGTGGATCCTGATGTCTCAGTAGCAGAACTCTGTCGTCGTACTTGTCTGGCCACAATGAGTTGGTCCTTAATATTAACAATGTCATTAGGATTTCTAGGGCTGCAAACAATATTTATTTTTGATATTGCACTATCCGTGTGCACAATTACACCCAGGAATTTAATAAATAAATGGCAAAAACCTAGGGTGCCTGATTGTGGAAGTCATGATTCTCAATATTTACAGCAACACTTAAGGCCCTGTCCACACGTAGCCGGGGATTTGCCAAAACGTAGATATTTTTCTACGTTTTGGCCTGTCATCCACACGAAAACTGAGTTTTTTTCACACAAAAACGGATCTTTTTAAAAACTCCGGCCAAAGTGAAGATCTGCGTTTTCTCCGTTTTGGGTGTCTGCGTGTGGACAGACAAAACCGGAGTTTTAAGGTCCGCAACGTCACTTTCCGCGACAAAAAAACGCTGACATCACGTGTGCGACCTGTGTTTACACTAGCCGACAGCATGAATGCCCTCAGAGCTGCACTCGCTTTATCAATTGTCCAAGCGCTTTTTGCTTGTTTGTTTTTGCAAGCGGAATTACTGCTCCTTGCGGAAGACCACAGACCAAGGACGAGGTTAAGAACGGGAGAAGTACTGCCGCCTACAGGTCTGGCATGTCCTTAACAACGTATTTATCCTGGTACGAGTGGACAGAGTTTTTTTTAAAACGAGGTGGTGTAAATGCAAGTTTTTGGAGGGGCGGATATTCGTTTTTTTAAAAACCCGGCTACGTGTGGACTAGGCCTAAGTTTCTCATTTTCCCTCCTACTGGTTGAAAGCAGAATTACAACTTTCATAAGCAAACCTGTTGCAACCTGCTGTAGCTAACATTGACAACGACCTAATGCTAACACGTGCCAGCTGATACTGAATTAGCCACAAAGTAAACAGATCCACACTTTAGAACAAAAAATATTATTGTCAACTGTATTGATGACACCCCCTCCCTGTCAAACACTGTCGTCATGGAGTGGATCTGCCAGCAGAGGGCCACAGTGCTGTTCAATGTGAAATTGCTCAAGTTTCTGGCCCAAGAAACGCTGAAACCAGTTTCAAAACAATAACTTACAGTGTTAGATCTCTTTAGAGTTGCTTTAATACATTTACCCATCAAATTTATTTCCAAAGTTTGCATATGCAAACAAGTGACGAATTTGTTCTGTTTATTAGTGATTACAACTATTAAAAGTTACTTTTATCACAACAAAATTAAAATATGGTACTATAAGAAATGCATTGGCGTATTTAATGTGACAAGTATCAAATGTGTATTTTTGTAACAGACATACTATGTTAACCCACATGGGAGAAAATGGCTGAACGCAGCACCACAGAATCTATGTAGGACACAATTGGGAAAAAATGTAATAATCGAGATATAATTTACACATTAAAAACCACCTATGTGTTTTGCTGTCATTCTGCCATCTTTATTTGAGCTAAAATATAAAACACACAACGCTTATGGTGTTTTACACTACTGAGCATTACACAAAGTATGTCACTGTGCAAATAATAAACTCATCAAACTTGTGTTAAACATGTTGACACCACTGGCTTCAGTTTAGCAAATAATAGGAAGTGCTAGTTTTATCCTAAGCAGCGGCTACCTCTGCCAGATTTTAAGCATGAAACCTTTTACTTTAAAAAAGGAAAACAGAAAGCCTTCATCATCCCACTAAATGCAACATGTTTTTTCCACAGTTCCTATGATAAATACAGCATTTGTCTGTTTTTGTACACTAGTGTTGCCCAGTCACTAGTATTTTCACCTTTCTTTACATATATACTTTGTAAAATCTTGTAAATACTTGGCGAATATTCTTGACAGAAATAAAAACTCAAGCTCTACCTTTGAATTTTCTATATTTTGCCATGTTTAATCTCTTAAGTGTCCAGCCTCAGATTGTCTTATTTTTCTGGGAAATGGAGTCGTGGCTGTGATTTGGAGCAATCCAAAACCCAAATTTGTGATTTTCCCTCATCCCTGCCTTTACACCACCTCAGTGTGGGATTCTGGCTCCTTGCAGATGTTGGTCATGAGCTTGCTGCAGCTTCCAGGCCCTTCCTCCTCTAGCTGGTGGTGTGTTTTCCCTTTAGCACAGCACCCACAGTCCAGCAGCTCATAGAGAACGGCCAAAGCAGTCAGGGACAGGACGGCGAGGATAAACAGCAGCAGGATGATGAAACAGGCTATGTTCCAGCTGTCGTGGAAGGGGTAGACTTCTTGGACCTGCAGGGAGACGCGGGACAGAGGGACGACCTCGGGGTGCGATGGGAGGCTACTTGAGTGAATGATGGTTGTGGCGTTGGCCATGATATCTGGTTGGAGAAAACAGAGAAAACATCAAGAAATGTTTCTGCCGTTTGAGTTCTGGTGTCTGAATAAAACATTTATTTTTATGTTTAGATTAGGGATGTGTATTTATGAAATTCTGGCGATACGATACATATCACGATATAGGGGAGATGATACGATACATCACGATATATTGCGATACATTCAGTCAGACGTTACAAGCAATTTTTTTACTGAGTTTATTTTAAGAATGTTCAATAAACAGTCCAAACTGATACGTAACATGTTTAACATGAGGTATCTGAACCATGATGGAGGGATTTACATTTCAGTGGTGGAAACAAAACCCTGCTGCCAACTAGCGGGTGGCGATTGAATTGCGCAAAACGAAAAGAAAATACACAAATGTTTGCATGTAAATAGGGCTGTCACGGTTGAGGAATTCCCCCTGCGGTGATTCAGGGTGGCTTAATATTGCGGTGTGCGATATTATTGCAGCCCTTTTTTATTGCAGTACTATCTAAACATAATGTTTACACATTTAAAAAAGGTTAAAAATTGCCGTGCCTTCTTTTATAACACTTTACTGAATGCAGATCAAAGGGCAGTAACAACACAGATCGCAGTAACGCTTGTTTCTCCGACAGTCGGAGTCCGACTGAACTTAAAAACAACAAAATTCAGGAGAAGGTTAAACTTTTAAATGCAAATTTGGCTGCAGCATCTAACAAATAAGAAACAAGTCCCCATTTTGTTTAGTTGTTTAAAATCAAGCATAAAAAATTGCATGTACCGGGCGCGCGGGCGCCGGGGGGCGGGCGCACTATCATTTCACTTTCACACACACGAATGACGGTGATTTATAGCTCGGTCACGTCCTTGTTACCTACAAGGAAAACCAGCATGTTAACTACGGTTTGAGAGAGGATCTGAGAGGGGTGGCAACATTTGCAGCAACACTGAAAACCCTCTCGGATGGTGCGCTCGTTGCACTAACGCACACGTACCTGCGTGCGACTCTGACGAGCAAAGGGAATCTCTCCCGGTTGTTGCTCCACCATGTCAGGGGGGTTTTCTTTAGGGTGGATGCATTCCTCCTGCAGGTAGCGAGTGAGCTCCAGCTCGGCTCAAACTCTCTTCGGGACGGCTGCAGAAGCAGTGCTTGTCCGGGACTTCAGCAGGTCTCCGAGCATTTATTTATTTATTTTTGCCGCTGGTGGCAGCTCTGTCTCGGCCAAGGACCCTGGCTGCGCAGCAGCTGACATACTGAAAACCAAAGTGCTCCCAAAGGAGCGAAGTAACGTTTCGTTTTGATACCAGTGCAGCCATCCTTCTCAACATGCATCATTGAGTTGAACCAAGTTCAGTAATCGCGGTGGCCCATGATGCAGCGCGGTGGGCTTCTTCATATCACGATATTTCATTTTTGAGGTTACCGCGACAGCCCTACATGTAAATTCTTTCAGGAATTAGATACACGGCTTTTGAATATCGATTTAATAATCGCAGGAAAAAATATCACGATATATTGCCAAATCAATATTTCCGATACACGGCTTTTGAATATCGATATAATATTGCTGGGAAAAATATCACAATATATTGCCATATCGATATTTTCTTACATCCCTAGTTTAGATAGTAATTTGCTGTCTTGTAAAAGATCTTTCTGTCTCTGAACTGTGTCTATTCCCATATACGTGTGTGTGTGTGAACATGCATGCTCCAAACACACACTTGTGTGCAGAGACCTCGGTAGCTGACCCAGATTACTTCAGGATGAGGAGCTCAAGTGTTGCTGCTGATAATGAACCTGTCTTCTTGGGTTACAAGTCTTGTTGCTCTTGCTTAAGATCCTAAAACTGTCATGTGAATCAATCAGATTATTTATAAAGCGCTTTTCAAACAAAGTGCTTTACAAAATGACCCCAGATTCCCATAACAGGTTAAAAACATTAACAGACATATGCAAGCACACGCACACACACACACACACACACACACACACAGACTCACACACACACACGCACACAAGTAAAAATTATATTAGGCTGAGTCCAGATGAGCCAAGTAAGGTAACGCAAGGAAACGCCATCAGAGGAGCCGTCTGCCCCGGCAGCATCAGGTCTTCCACACTAAGTCAGGGCGCTCAGTGGAGGGGGAGCATAGCCCCCCACCTATAGAGCGCCCAGGAAGCTACAGTCGACCACCGCTCCCGGGGCAGAGGGCCCCCACAGAGGAAGTATTTTTGAAGAATATCAATGCTTAAATTAGGCATTGCCCATTTCTAGATGAAAGCCATCTTCACTCGTATTATTTACGGTACGGCTCCCATCTACCTGAATCCTCTTGCAAAGGCTTATGTCTCGGCCCGGCCGCTCCGGTCATCACAGGATGGTCGGCTAGCAGTGCCTACACCACGCTCAGGACAATCCAGACTCTTCTCATGCATCGTTCCACAAATGTGGAATGACCTTCCAAGCACTACCAGAACTGCGGCTTCCTTTTCAATTTTCAAGAAACTCCTGAAGACCCTGCTCTTCAGAGAGCATCTTCTAAACTAGCACCCTCCCTGCACCCGTCCCCCCTCTCTACCGTCCACTCCTTGTTCCCTCCTCTCCATGACTGATGTCAATGTTGTTGTTGTTATTGTTGTTGTTAGCCTCAAGGGCAACATGCTGATTATCACTTGTAAGTCGCTTTGGACAAAAGCGTCTGCTAAATACATAAACACATTTTTTTTGCATTAGGAGTGAGTGATTGGGCAAAAACATATGTCACAATATATGTTGTGACAGTTTTTAATTTTAGATGCCAAACTTGGCGTTTCGTGACCCACAGCAGGGTCCTATTATTTCCATCCTCGTCTGTTTATTTTATTTTGTTATTCAAGGTCAAGTTGTACATCTTATTTCTAACTTTCACAACCGCTGTCATAAATGATGCTGCCCTTCCTTTACTCTGACAGATCGGTAACATGTTCTAACTGTTAACAATCTGGTATCATTTAGATACACGTCTAAAAGAAGTCCGGTTGTCAGAATCAGCCCAAATTCACTGACTGGCCAATTTAAAAAATGAACCTTTTTTCCTTTATTTGGTCCATGAACCAAGCAGAAGTAAAGAATTGAGACACTTTTCTTGTTCTGTATGAGGAAGTACCAATTTACGCAAAAGATTTTTATCTTTTTAAAACTTATTTTTCTAGAATCATATGTTTTTAGGGTAATCAGAATTTAAATGGCAATAATGAAAATTGAAAATGGGTTTCAAAACTAAAATCTGTGCAGTTCTAGCGAATCATCCAGCCTAACTGAAAACATTAACATGATGGCAGTTATTAGACAGAACTGTGTGTGGTTTTAGTTTCTTTCATTAAAGACAAATACAAAGGAAGTACTTCTATTTAGGAACTGTTAGAACGTAAACTACTCGTATAGTAAAATCAGAGTCTAGATAGAAACATATTTTAGGTTTGTGTTGAGAATTTCTTACAGCTGCTCTAACAGATAAAGCAGTGATGCTCATGAAAACACACACATTCTGATGTTTGTTATTCGAGCAGGGAAGAGTGCAGACAGGTCCATGTTTATTTAATCCAGATGTTTTTTATGCAGTTCTAGGCCTCAGGATCTGACCTGACAAATTCAACCCTTTTTTTTTTTTTGCTAAATATGAGGATTTGGTTCAAGAGATCCAATCAGAGGGGTTGGGTTAGTAAAACATGTTTTTTGCATGTAAGCATTTGTTAAGATTCATCCACTAAATGCTGGAAAACACACTGCCGTAGCTCCAGACTGAAGCCAAGATTATTTCCTTGGATTTTTATACATAATTTAGTCAACATTTGGTTCATCCATCCCTGAAAAATAAAGCCACTCACCTGCGTGCCTGGCTCTGTCTTTTGAAGATGCAGGTTAACGGATCACTCCCCTGCTTCTGGCTCTCTGTCTTCCTCTCTCCCTCGCCCACAGTCACGCATCGACCTGTTCTCCTTGGTGCACTCGCGTACTTCCAGTCGTCATCCGTGCGTCCGCTCCCCTTCTTCTCCTCCCTTCTCCTCCATCACCATCACTCTTGCAGCTCTTCATGTCTCCACTGAACACATTGAGCTGATCATTGGCTCTCTACTTTTACCCCACCCCAGCGCCATTCGCTAGTGGCCCTGTCAGGTTTCAGCACCCAGCCCATTGTGCAGCGAACAGCCACAGAGCCCCCACGCCCACAGCATGAATCATTCATGATTCAGTGTCTGTTTCCAGCTTTTATTGGTGAATGCTCAGTCCAGACCTGGCCAACGGAGGAGGGAAGCATGAAAATATTCAGCAGCTCTGTGGTTTCTGTGTTCATGCAGAATGCTTTATGTTCACCACAGTAAATTCTCATGTAATAAACACATTTTCCTTCCTTTTCTCTGCAGAATCCAGTAATGGAAACATCAACATTAAAGCAAGCTCTGGGTACAAGTTTGGCTGCCTGGCCAAAATTGTTAATTACATGAAGGTAACCAACATTTGAAGACAATTTTAGGGACAGAAATCTCTGTTGACACTAGCATCCAATTGAATGTATTGTATGCATTCACAACTGAGACAATGGGAGTGTTTTTGTCTCATAGACTCTGAAAATACCTTCTGCAGAGCTATTAGACTGTCGTCATGACCTTCAAAGCTCCACCAAAACGTGATTTGTTGTGTATTGTATCAGCTGAATGAGTCAGTCGTGTTTGCTGTGTTAACATTTGGTCTCGAGGCTTTCTTTGGGTACATAAACAGCTTGTTTATCATGCTGTGGCTCTATCGAATCGCTATCTGACACACACTCCACTTACCACTCTTCTGTGATTGTGGGCACTTTTTGTGCCATCTGCTGAAAGTTTTAAATTGCACAAGACATTTTAAATGTGCAATTTAAGGCTTAACAAATTTTTCAGCTGTCAGTGTCGGGTAATAAGGAATAAACCCATCTCTCAATTTCCATCATGGATATCATAAAGCTGAAAACCATATTTGAAATTCTGCCTTTCTCTCACAGACGAGGCACCAAAATGGGGACACACACTTCCTGACTCTAGAAGAGATTCTGGATGAGACCAAACTTCTTGACATCAGTATGAAGCAGAAACAGTGGCTTATGACCGAGGTGAGCTCCTGACATGATCTCTTCCACTTTTGTTAAATATGTTTAAAACTGAAAAGATGAACTAGGAAAAGAGACTAAAGCTTGTATCTCACTGGGGTGCCACTGGGGGCAACACTTATTTGCTATAAAAATGCAATTTTTTTGTGAAATCATATTTAATTTGTGAGAAAAAAATACATTCATGTTAAATTTTAAAAATGGCTGGGTAACACAGGGCATATTTGCAACTAAATGGTTGTTCCGATAATAGATATGTATTGTAAGTATACAGCTTTGTTCACTCAGTAAAAAGTTGAGCTACTACCTCTTATTATTTTTTGTCTTTTAAACATCAAAGTAAGTACATTTTATTTATATAGCACTCATCACAGAAAGAGAATCACAAAGTGCTTCACGTAGATAAGAAAGAAAATGAGTCATATGGTCATAAAATCATAATGATCAGATCATAATGATTTTAATCAAAACAGAAATAAATTAAAACCAGAAAAAACAAAGTTATGAAGTTATAAAATGATCATAAATATCATAAAACAAATGAAATATGATTATAAGTCTGAATTTAAAAAGAAGACAAAAGTTTTAGGTTAAAGCAGCTTAAAATAAAATAGTCTTCAGCTGTTTTTTAAAAGTTTACCAGACTGAATACTATGGAAGGATAAAGGAAGATCATTCCAAAGTCGGGGGGCGACAGCCTGGAAGGAGCGATCACCTCGACTGGTCTTTGGTACTTCTAGAAGGTTCTGGTTTGTGGACCTGAGCGGTGGGGTTGAAGCAAGGTGGTCAAGGTTTTTTTTTGTTAAAACATGTGAAGAGTGTGTTACAGTAATCTAGACGAGAGGAGATAAAGGCATGGATAACTAATTCAAGTTCATGTTTTGACACCAACCTTCACAGTTTGGAGATATTTCTTAAGTGGTGAAAATGTTTCGGACCAAAGTTTTTGAGTGGTTTGAGTGGCCTTGAAGAGAAGAAACAACACCCAAATTCCTCAAGTTTAACTTGACATCAGAGGTTAAATGACCAAGTTGTTTACTAGTCAGGGGAACCATGCTCTCACTAGTCAGGGGAACCATGCTCTTGGGGACAATGAGCAGACATTTGGTTTATCCTCATCGGCCCTCTCACTTCTGCCTTGGGGGATACCGCAGGGTTCTATACTGGGACCGTTGCTGTTTCCCATTTATATTTTCCCATTGGGGGACATTCTACAAAAGTTTGGAATTGGATTCCATCTCTTTGCCGACAACTGCCAATTGTACTTACCTCTAGATGGCGCCGGTGATCACACGATAAAAATTTTTGGGATTGTTTGGCAGAAATTAAGATATGGTTGGCAGAAAACTTCCTGTGTCTCAATGGGAAAAAAAACAGAGGCATTGTTGTTTGGACTGAGTGGACATTTACATTTTTCCAACGTAGACTGCGGTAAACTGAACTCCTATCTGGGTGTTTCAGCAGTCAACCTTGGCGTGAAGATGGACAGTGCATTCTGCATGGATGCTCATGTGGGTACTGTAGTATCCTCTTCATTTTATCATTTAAGACGTTTGGCTAAAGTAAAGCCATTTTTATCTAGACGTGACCTTGAGACTGTTGTTCATGCTTTTATTACCTCACGACTCGACTATTGCAATTCCGTTTTATTTGGTGTAAGGGTACTGTAGCCCGATTGCAGCTTGTCCAGAATGCTGCAGCTAGATTCTTGGACTGCAAAAGGAAGCATGAGCACGTGACACCAATTTTGGCTGCTCTCCACTGGTTACCTGTTGATTTTAGAATTCGTTTTAAAGTTCATTTAATGTTGTTAAAGGCGCTGAATGGTGTGGCTCCAGCCTATTTCAATCAATCAATCAATCAAAGCTTTATTTATAAAGCGCCTTCCGCAACCCTGTCAGGAAGCCCAAGGCACTGAACATGGTACAGTAGAAGTACAAATATAGTGAATAAATCAAAAATAAAAGCAATTCAAAAATAAAAGCAAATTAAATTACTAAATACAAATTACAAAAAAAGGTGAAACATTCTGGTACAGGACAGATGTGTAAAACAATGGATAGAGTGAACCAATGAAAACTGTGAAATAAATTCAACATAATAGAGGGCCGAATCAAACATGTTCAGGAAACGCCAAGCGGAGGAGGTGTGTTTTTAGGTGACTCTTAAAGGCTGGCAGAGATGGGGACAGCCTAACTGAGGGTGGCAACTGGTTCCAGTGTGACGATGCTAGGACTGAGAAAGCCCGGTCCCCGCGAATACGACACCTAGAACGAGGGACAGCGAGCAGGCCTTGGTCAGAGGAGCGCAGAGCGCGTGATGGGGAATGTTTGTTCAGGAGAGTGGCTAGATAGGGGGGACCACCACCCTGGAAGAAATGATAAACAAAGACGAGGATTTTGAATTGTGAGCGATAGCAAACCGGAAGCCAGTGCAGGGAGGCCAGAACCGTACTGATGTGGTCCCGTTTCCTGGTCCCAGTCAGGAACCTATTTGGCTTAGTTGCTGCAGCCATATGCTCTGGCCCAGTCACTTCGCTCTGAGAACCAGCTGCTGCTTGTGGCTCCTAAGGCTAGGCTGAAGTTAAGAGGGGACAGGACGTTCTCTGTTGCGGGTCTGAAACTGAGGAAAGCAATGCCCCTAACTATTAGGGACTCTCCATCAGTAGCAGTTTTTAAAATGAGGCTGAAAACGTACTTTTATGATCTGGCTTTTAATTCTGTGGGTTAGCAGTTGTTAATGTTTTATATTTTGCAAGTCTCATTTGTGGTTTTAATTATGTCTGTAGCGATATGTTTTATTGTTTTACTATTTTGTTGTACAGCACCTTGGTGGCATGCTCATGCCTGTAAGGTGCTTTATAAATAAAGGCTGAGTTGAGTTGAGTTATTCAGAAGTGAACTGAAGGATGTTTTCTTCTAGCCAGCTGGTGATGGCTGATAGACTAGTAATTCAGACAGTTTATAGAACTCAGAATCCATACAGCTGAATATCATCTGCATATAGATAAGAGACATTATGAAAAGGATAATAATCTGTCCAAGAGGGTTTATATACAGTAGAAAAAGAGTGAACTCAAAACAGAGCCTTGGGGTACCCCACAGAGCAGATCGATAGAATCTGACATGATTTGGTTTATATAGACAAACATATGTTTTTGTTAAAAAGCCTCTGCATATCTTACTTTTACTTTACGTTTCATCTATTACCATTATTAGTACCATTAAATCTATGACTCAGTAGTTATATCTGCTATTATTTTCAGGCATTGGTCAACAACCCAAAAATTGAGGTTCGTGATGGGACTTATGGCTTCAAGCCCAAGTACAACCTGAAGGACAAGAAGGCCTTAGTGAGGCTGCTGGACAAACATGACCAACTTGGCCTGGGTGGAGTGCTACTGGACGATGTGGAGGAGGGGCTCCCTAATGCTGCCAAAGCCATCAAGGTGACCCAAATTTACATGAAGATGTGTTTAAATACGAGAATCAAACATGGAATTATAGATGTTTGTATCTCTGTAGGCTTTGGGAGATCAGATCATCTTTGTTACAAGACCAGACAAGAAGAAGGTTCTGTTCTACAATGACAAGAATTGTCAGTTTTCAGTTGACGAAGGTGGGTGATGTTGTTGACTGTATGTCCCACTCTGTCTCTCTACAGAGATCAGAGAATAACGCAACACCGATACCCGAGTTTGCTCAGAATGGGGCAGAAATGTGGACAACAGTTTAATCGGGACATCTTAATTTACTTAGCTTCTTTATAGCCTAGTCAAATGATAAATGACCCGCACTTGTATAGCGCCTCTCAGAGTAAGGACTCCAAAGCGCTTTACACTACAGTGTATCATTCATCCATTCACACACACATTCACACGCTGGTGGTGATGAGCTACGATGTAGCCACAGCTGCCCTGGGGCGCACTGACAGAGGCGAGGCTGCCGAGCACAGGCGCCACCGGTCCCTCCGACCACCACCAGCAGGCAAGGTGGGTTAAGTGTCTTGCCCAAGGACACAACAGCAGAATTCTCTGTCCGGAGCCGGGATCGAACCTGCAACCTTCCGATTACTGGACAACCCGCTCAACCTGTTGAGCTACTGCTGCCCAAACTGTAGCCGCAGCAAAAGGTTTTGCTCCGAAGGTCGATCTAGCCACACTTTGTTGTAGTCTCAGCAGGTTCACCATTGGCCCAAACTATTTTAGGTCTGGCATATCACAGAGCTCAATGAGACATGAGCAGATGGAGGTACTTAAAGCTTCTGGCCAGAGGTAATTTCCTTTCAGTGACGGGTAGAAAGTCTAAAAACCTCTGCTGAAAAAAGATCTGACTTCCGCTGCAAAACCACAAGATAGTTTCTGATCTTTCTGACGCTACCCAGCTGGTTACATCATATCGCGGCATTCCCTCAGAAATACATTGTAAACAATCCATGGCTTTGATTTTTCTGCGTAAGCATTATGGCAGATGACGTTTCATCAGAGTCAGTTGTAGCATCTGAAACCTCTGCTAGATGGTCATAATTTTCTTCCCCGGAATATAATTCAAACAAAGAGAACAAATATCGGATAGCCAGGAAGGTGAAACCATCTTTGAGAGCTTGGATTAATCAGGTCACTGATCAGCCCCTGTAGCCTCTGCTTCAGCTTTTCTCCAAATGGTGAAATCTGTTGATCTTTATGAAGTATGGTTATTTTGAAAAATAATCTACTTGCTTTTTCTTTTTTGACTATGACTGCCCTGTTGACTGATTTGCGTAGCAATGTCACGTTTTGTTGCTTTAATTGTTCCTAGCACTGTCTAGATGCTAGGTCTGTCTAGGTCAGAGACAGTTTGAAAGTTAACCGTAGACTCTGCCCAGTGACCGAGCTGTCAGACTATATATTTACATATAAAGGATGGCTTGCCAGGCTAGCTGGAGTAAACTAAACTCCTATTGCAATTTTAAATTTAGATTCTCTTTTCAGACGATCCCTGGCTAAACGAGACATAGTCCCTCCAGTGTGTCCTGGTTCTTCCTTTACGTCTCCTTCCAGAGTTCCAGTTGGACGAGCCTGGAAAACCTCACCAGTGTAGCGTTATTAAGATCCTATTGTCTGCCCTTAACAGCTGCCCCTTCACACAGTAACATCGCCAAGGTCGGATGCTGGTTTCAGTATGTTTACATTCCAGGAGAAGAGACAGAAGAAGAGAAGAAGAACGCTTTCCATTAATTAATCAAAGTACTTTATTCGTTATAAAGCTAATCAGAGCATATGAAGGCGTCCAGGACGCATCCTAACTAGATGCCCAAACCACCTCAACTGGCTCCTCTCGATGTGGAGGAGCAACGGGTCTACTCTGAACCCACCCCGAATGACCGAGCTTCACCCCATCTCTAAAGCCCTTTTCAGACAGACATTCTGGAACATTTGCGGACAATTCAATCCGGTTTTTAACCGGAACTGTGTTTTCAGACACACCACTTTTGTACCGGAACTTGTCCTTTCGGGTGCGTTCACACAGCAGGGAAAAGTTCCAGATGTCTGACGGCGGCGTCGGGGGAGGGATCGGACTCATGTTAAGAAGAAGAAAATATCATTTCTATAGCGATATATATAAGATAAAAATCACGAGGCGCTTAAGCATAATTCTGCGCACACGAAGACACATAAGAGACCTGGATAATGAAGCTCAATGGTTAAAGGAATCACTGAAGCGGTGTGAAGCGCTCCGTCGCGCGTCTAGACGGTACCGTAGGAGGCGAGCTGCCATGGTTCACCGCATGCTACAGCAGCAGGCTATCTAGACAGCGTCCCCCGGTCCCCTCCTCCTCCCCCTCCTCCTTGTCCGGAACTTTACCTCACCAGTCTGAAGCAGCCACCCTGTCCGTAACAAGTCCGGACCTGTTACTAGGGGCTTCGTCCGGATAAATTCCGGAACACGTTATCCGGATGTTTGTATTCAGACAGAAAGGTCTTACGGACAGATTCCGGAACATTTCCGTTTTTCAGGGCCTGTCTGAAGGGGAAGGGAGAGCCCAGCCACCCTGCAGAGAAAACTCATTTCGGCCGCTTGTATCCGCAATCTCGTTCTTTTAGGGTCACTACCCAAAGCTCGTGACCATAGGTGGGGGTAGGAATGTAGATTGATCGATAAAACAGATCGGTACAACGCCCGCATCACTGCAGATGCAGCACCAATCCGCCTATCGATCTCACGCTCCATCTTTCCCTCACTCGTGAACAAGATACTTAAACTCCTCCACTTGAGACAGGACCTCATCACTGACACAGAGAAGGCATCCTACCCTAATAAGAACATGATAAAACACCTCTTATCTTTCCGTTATTTATAAAATCTGCTGTTTCTGTCCTGATTTCAGTCCATTCCATCCAGAATTGAGCTTTGACTACATATAATTTTAGTTGTCTTTTATCTGTAGAATTTCAGAAGCTGTGGAGGAGCGTTCCAGTCGACTCCATTGATGAAGAGAAAATTGAGGAGTACCTAAAGAAACAAGGCATCTCCTCCATGCAGGAAACAGGACCAAAGAAAGTGGTCAGTGTCTTCATCTCACATTTCTTCAAATTAATTCAAAAAAGTAAAAAAAAAATAATAATAAATCCCTCTATTACACATTAACTTTTACATTCTTTACATACCGCATTTTCCGGACTATAAGTCGCACCTTTTTTCATAGTCTGGCTGGTCCTGCGACTTATATACCTAAGTGACTTATATACCAAATTATGTATACCGCGCTGCTGCGGGCCGGCTCCGGACCAGGAATGAGCTCCCCTGCCCTGCCATCACCTGCTGGAGACCGTTGCGCGCTGATGCGGGCCGGCTCCGGTCCAGGTTTCAGCTCCTCTGCCCCGCTGGTAGGGTTTCAAACACCACCATCACCTGCTGCAGCCTGTGGCGGGGTGATGCGCCCCGATTGTTTATTCTGTTATTGTTACCGGTACTTGTCTTCCAATGGGAAATGCTTGGTCTCAGATTTTGTAAGAAAAATTATAAAAAATTTCCCCCAAAATTCAACTTATAGTCCAGTGCGACTTATGATTTTTTCTTCTTCATTATACATTTTATGGCTGGTGCGACTTATACTCCGGAAAATATGGTACAGGGTATCCGCGGATCCTTAAAAAGTCTTAAATTTGCTTTTCCAAATTTAAGGCCTTAAAAATGACAAATAATCCTTAAATCCAGTTTCCAAAGGTCTTAAATTACCAAAGACCCAATAAACAAGATTCTTTTATTTCTATAAAAATTTCGTGAATTTCTAGTTAGTGTTCAGCTTTTTTCTGTGTATGACATTGGCGTAAGCGGAACTGTACACATGCAGTTGGTTGTGAAAGGGGCTGTTTTAGATGAGCACGTTAGCTGATTAAGCTAGTGGGAGCTTGCGCCATGGGGAAGTGCAAGTGTAATGGTACCTGGATAGCTTATCCCACATTCGCAACGTGGTTAGAACCAGTTCCATAGCCTGGAAAGCCAGACTAAATAAATATATTATTTAGTCTGGCAACGCTCCATTGACGGCTCTCGGTTGTGGGGCGGGTTCTACCGTTGTCTTTCAAATGATCTCCGCATTCCACTGGACAAAGAATGTGACATACTCTTGTTTCACTCTGTTGCGTCATCCCACCCACCAGGCATATAGAGTGCCCTGATTGGCCCACAAAGCGGATAAAGCTCTGTGATTTGTTCACTAAGCAGATAGAGCACTATGATTGGCCCAACATTATGGACCAATCACAGCTCTTCATGTGTTTGAAACCGCTCTAGAGGGCTGTGATTGGCCAGCCAGAGTCCTGGTAGGAGTTGCGGAGGTTCCAATGGAGCATGCCTAGACCAAACTTTGCAAAGCAAGAATTTGGTCTAGTTCACTAGGCTACCAGTTCCAGGCAATAGCTGGAAATTATAGCTTAAATTTATTTTTGAAAATAGCTTAAATTTGGTCAAAGTGGCCTTAAAAAGGTCTTAAGTCTTAAATTCGGCACCCATAAACCTGCAGATACCCTGATGGTAGTTCCTTTTGTTATAAAGCCAGCATATTTATAAGTACTTTAAGTTTCTGCCCTTTTTCAGATGCCAGTTCAGAAGAGAAAGAAGCAGGCTGGGCAGAGGAAGAGACAATTCAAAACCCATAACAACCACCTGGAAGGAGTGCTGGAGGACTACTCAGATGGCGTGCCTGGAAAGAAGTGACAGTTTGCTGGAGTCTAAACTTCAGAGGTGGAGTCACTGGCCACCATTAATACGGATTTTTTTCTTGGCTGTCATGTCAAAGAATCTCTTATTTACATTCCCTCCAGTGATCAGTGGTCTTTCATTAAATGGAGCCAGTAGCAGCAGAGTTGTGGGATCCATTTCAGATTTATTGATCAGAAACAACTTGGGGACTCTGGAGGAAGAGAGTAGTGTTCTGTACTGGTGCTGATGACTCAAGAAAACCACAACTGTTACAACATGCAGCACATCCTTAACTGTTCAAATGAAAGGAGGCTGAAATGTGTCGGTACTTTCTTCATCATTTTATTTATTTTATGAGTTGTGAGGATCCCTGATTTTCTTATAAGCAGATTTGAGGTGAATACTGACTACTCACCCAGCATCAAACCTCTTCAGCCCTATGTTGTGGAATTTCAAGAGTTAGTGCTTTTACTTTGAAATATCATGATATAGCAGTTTAAAATAATAGGCTTTTTGGAATTATTTTATTAAATTACATGGTTACACAAGGCTGTGTCAGATGTCTTAAATAATACTTTCCATACATCAAGTTCATCTGCAGCATGGAAATGATTTACTTTCCATAAACACAACCGTGATGTGCAGGAAGAGGAAATGCTTCACTTGTGTTGTAGTTTATAGTAAAAAATATCAGTGGAACAAGTAGAGACAGGACTTATTTATGTACATTTATTCTATATCGCAACATAATTAAGCATAATTTAGCAGTTTTGCTAGGATGAACTTATTAGCTAGTCGTGTGGCTCGCTTTAACAGTTTTTTTCAAATGATGGTAGTTCGGCAAAATCTTCATCAGAAAGTCTAGCTGGAGAGTCTGGGGCTGGAAGGACAAAAGAACAGAAATGTTATGGTATAGAATACAGTACTCTGTTTAACACTTGTTTTATAGAGATCATATAAAACATAAGGCTTGATCAGATATGAAATAATATCAGGTTCCCACCTTGCTGCACTCGGTTTCAACAAATTTATCCATTTTAGAAACTCCAAAAATGAAAAGGTAAAACCTGACGTGGTTTAACTCATTCACTGCCATTGACGACTTTAGTCGTCATTTTCTTTTTTTTTTCTACTGTGTGGGCGTCTGAAAGAGCGCCCGCACCGTGAGAACAAACACCTCAGCTCTAAAGCTGATCTTCATCTGCGTACGTCACGTCACGTGATCAAGAAGCAGCAAATCCATGTGTTGGATCGTTTAGGCCGCTGCAACGCGAACCGGAAAAGCTTCTGCCGATCACAATTCGACGACGGATTATGACAGAACGGATAACGCTCGAAACATGCAGATTCTTCCTGATGTAAGAGGTGAATACTCTTTGTTTTGTTAGTTTTTGCGTTATCATAGAGCGTAACGTTCTGTGACTCTTAAAAAAACAGTGAAAACATTTTAAAACGCTGGCAGTGAATGAGTTAATATACTAGAAGTTCTGTAACATTACATAATGTTCAGTTAAGAATGAAATAATCTATAGATTTAAAACTTCAATGAGACCCCGGGCACTAGAGTAGTGAAAAAAACTCATGACTGTACACTTTGAGACACCTTTTCCTAGTAGAATCTGTATGGACTACCATAGCAAACTAACTGTATATATCATTAGCTTAAATCACATGTGGGAAATGTATCTTCTACTTTACATTTGTATATTTTCATCTGTGTTTTGTACTCATTCTGCCATCTTGCTCCAACAAACACAATATGAAACTTGAGTTTTAGACTTTGGAAAGGTTGTGATCTACTAGGGTTGGGCGATATGGCCTAAAGTCAATATCACAATACATTGAGAAGTTCACCGCAATAACAATAAATGGACGATAAATACATGTGTGCGAAAAAAAAATAGTTGTCCACTAGATGGAGCTGTCACGTGTATAGCGTTTAGTCAAGTTGTCATGTGACTCGAGGTGGTACAGCTTAAAGGGTCAAATGTGCCAAGACACACACACACTCACACACACACACAAATTATATTGGTTAATCAGTCATTTCGATTACAATAACTTTTTGATTTATCGCCCAGCCCTATCATGCTTAAAAAAAACTAAAGGACAATTTAATTTTCTTTTTTCCGAAATCTAAGTTAAAACAAGGCTGTTACTTTGCCCTACTCGGCATGTGCAGCCATACCTGTGGTCGCTCCGTCTGAACCCTCCTCATGCATCCAGAACCAAAGATGACCGTGTTCTCAGGTATGACCTCACAGGTGTTAACCTGACAGAAGGCTCCGATGATACACCCACTGGTGAGGATCACATTCCTACCAACGTCAGCTGGAAAAGGACACTTGATACAGTCAGTGGTTTCCGCTAAAAGAACATGTCTATCTGACCAAACACTCACCTTTAGACTCGATTACATTGTTGTCACCAATTTTCAGAGCTTGAGATACTGGGTGCTCTCAGTTAAGATAAAAATGTATCTTATAATTAACAATGAGCCTGAAATCACTGCACAAAGTAGTCCCAAGGATACCACAGCCCACTTCAAACACGTTGTTTGTGCCAATAGTCATTGTTTTCGGCTCCAATTCAGAGTCTGGTGTGATGTTTTCTGGGTAACTAGAAAGTAAAAAATTGTATTTGTTACGATGATTTCAGCGCGACACGGAAAACCGCAGAAACAGACACTATTCAAAATTAAATAAAACACCACAAAAGAAAACAATCACCTGTTAATGATCAGCGCTTGCTCTTCGATTAAGTTTCCTTCGCCGATCACAATGGGTCCTGCGTCTGCTATTATACGAGCTTTGGGATGGACTACTGTCCTCGGGCCTGTGTAAACACAAGATTAGCAGTAAGCGGAAATTTACAACTGCCGCGGATTAAAGATAAATGTAAAACATTTTACCAATGGTAACATCTCCTCTGATTTCACTTTCAACACAAACTACAGCTCCAGCGGCTATTTTGACGCTGAAAAAGAGCACAGAAGAAAACATCGACTGCTAGCTTAGCCTTCTAACAACACTTGTCTAAAAAGCAGTGTGGCTACATTTTCGTTATTGTGCAGTACTTACAATTATTTAAATGAGTGACAATGACATACGTTCTGTTTGTTTTACCTTTTTTGAGCAGTTGATTTGTCTGCCATTGCGAGTAAATGAGTTCGATGGGAGGATGCGTTGATACACTCGGTTGTCGATTATGCGTCCTTGTGGCCCAAGCCATATGTGCGCATGCGTCACTGAAGGAGTTTCGAATGAGGTGACAGTAGAAAGCCAAATTGTCCAGCCATTATGAGACACATGTACTTTATTTTATTTGAATTTGTTTATGAATAAAGTTATTATAAAACCTGAGTCTGACATTCTACGCTTAATGAGATACAACGTTTATATACGGTGACACTGCTGGATAAATGTCGCCCTCTTGTGGCGATTTAGTGGTCTTTCACCAAACGTTTTTTCAAAAATCAATTTGTTTTTTTTTTATATTTGGGTTAAAATTTTCACTCATTGAATATGTTTAAACTTTGTTTATTTAAACAGAAGTATGGCTTATAGTGTTCCTGGTGAAAGAAAACCGCTTTCAAGGCTACCATTTATACTTCTTTTCCTCTTTCTGGACATCTCTCACTGCCTGGTGACTTAGTAACATTACAACATCAACAACCCAAAAACAATAATGGTTACACTTCCCGTTGATCTTTATTATAATGCCGTAATCGAATCTAGTAAAGCACAATAAACCAGTGATGGGAATTTCGGCTCTTTTTAGAGAGCGCCGGCTCTTTTGGCTCCCAAGTGGCTCCTCAGATTTTCTGTTGCGTAGAGTACATTTATAACCAAAATAATGCTAAACTATATGTAAAACGATTTACTAATATAAAAACATGCAATATATCAAATTTTTATCATTTCTATGGATTTAATATCTGAACACTTTAAGAAATTTCCACTTTCCGACTGCTGGCGCTCATTTTCTCACCGTCTTCATCGCACTCTCCTCTCGCTCGCCTTTTTCCTCCTCCTCATTCCCTCTCGTCTCCCTCCACCCGCATGTGCTCTGCTGTCTGTCTGAGTCTGCTCCTCCCTCTTCCCCGCCCCTACTGCTCTGTGTGTGGACAGTCTGGACACGCAGTTACACAGGTTGACCAATCGCCTGTAGCTTTCACCAAAGCAAGAGGGGAGGGGACGGCTCCCAGTGACGAGCCGGCTCCCGTCGTTCACTTCAAAGAGCCGACTCTTAGAGCCGGTTCGTTCGCGAATGACACATCACTACAATAAACCATTTTATTTAACATTGCTGACCTTTGAATTAGCAAAAATTATTTTAAGCTTCTTTAAAAACAACCCCTTGAGGGACAAATGCCGTTCTCTTGAGGCAATTTAGTGATGTTTCACAATTAGAAAATAAGTTTTATTATTTTCTAAGTCCAAGATGGTCTTAAATCGGAAAAGGGTATGCCTTCAAGTGGAGTTTATGTGAGTCATTCACGAGTGAAGGATCTACTCAGAGTAGATCCGCTGCTCCTACACATCCAAAGGAACCAGTTCAGGTGGCTCGGGCATCTAGTTAGGATGTGTCCTGGACGCCTCCCTGGTGAGGTTCTCCAGGCGCATCCAACTGGGAGGAGTTGGTAGATGAAAACAGTGGTGTGATGTGACTGTCAAAATAAACATTTGATATTTTTTTCATTAAAATAAAGCTTTTAAAATAAATACCGTACCTTCATTCTGCACACCTTTAACTGTCTCGTAGAAGTATTCTTTTTATTAACTTGTTCCATATTCAAACTAATTTTAGATCACCTGTAAGTCCCCTAAATAGCCCACTTTTAGCCTAAACTAATATAATATCTTAAAATAATGTTTTTCTACGAAATCATCAGGAAATCCTAATGAAAATATTTTAGCAAAGTCAAACAGACCAAAATGTTATTTGTTTCTTGTTGATTTGTAGTTTTCAGCACTGCTTTTTCCCACTAGCCTGTCGAACAAGACCTGTTCAGCTGCTTTCTAATGTTCTGGTCATGACCAACAATCAACCTTTAGCCTGCAAAGTGAGGCCTGTAGAGGCTGAAATGGAGCACTTGAGTGTTCTGCAGGTTTTCTGAGAATTGATCTTTGACTTTGAGGTGAACTCCTTATAGGAAATGCACTAATATCACATGAGAACAATCATTGTAGCTCCTTCTGGTGTCACCCACATATTGAAGATAAATTAACAACACTCGTTTGTCAAAAAATCATCACCAGACTTACATTATTAAATGAAAATTCTTACCCAAATATTAAAAAAAAACTAACACAAGTTTTGAAAACAAGTTTTGTGTAATACCAATAAATCACCACAAGAGGGCGATATTTCCCCCGCAGCTTCGCCGTGATGCATATGAACAACTCACATGGCACTTTGTGTTCACCCACAGACAATGATATCATAATGATACTCATCTTTTATTTTTCATAAAATTAAGATATATTTCTACTTTTAGTTAGTTGGAATTGAGGCACAGTCCTCTGGACCCTCGCTGCCTGCCCAGCTGTGCTCCTGAGCAGAAGAAACTTAGCCTAGTGAACTAGACCAATTTCTTGCTTTGCATAAATAAATAATACATTTATTTAGTCTGGCTTGCCAGGCTAGAAGAAACTGGTTCTAGGGGACAACGATCTTGGCACAGCTACCGATTACAAATCTGTGTGCATGGTTTATTACACTTACTACCTCAGCATATTTTCCCCACCTGATCCCTGACTGGCTCCATACTTTACTCTAAGCCAACCTGGTATGTCCAAAATGTGGCCCAGGGTCCATTTGCGGCCCTCGGAGTGATTTTGTGTGGCTAATTTCTAGAATGGTGGAAGTTCGCCTCTCAAGCAGACAGGTTTTTAAACTATTTTTAGTGATCTGGTATTTAATAATACCAAAATTTAATAATTTGCCTATTTTGGAGAAGTGCAAATAAACCAATAACAAGGTAGCTTTTACTTTAAATTATTATTATTATTATTATTATTATTATTATTATTATTATTATTATTATATTTTTTGTATATTTGTATGCTTTCACTGAAGTGCCAGAATCAATCAATGCTTCTAAGGCAGTTTCAGGGTTAGTTTGTGGAAAGCATCCTTCTGATGATGTGGGCACTTCCGAGAAGAACAATCTTCTGGATTTCTTGGACAGTTGGGTTTCCAGGAATCTGTTTTGTTCTCTTTTCCAGTCCCTTCTTGATGAGGCCAAGTGCACCCACTACGACAGGTATTGCTGCTGTCTTCATCCCCCACATTCTTGTGACTTCTATTTCCAAGTCCTTGTACTTTGATAGCTTTTCAAGCTCCTTGGTGGTGACATTTTTTTCAGATGGGATGGTCATATCAATCATGAGGCAGGTCTTCTCTTCTTTGTTTTTGATGATTATGTCTGGTCTGTTGGCCATGATTTCGCTGTCTATGTTGATTGGTATGTCCCACAACACAAAAATAAACCAATCACAAGGTAGCTTTTACTTTAAATTATTATTATTATTATTATTATTATTATTACATATTTTGTGGCCCATGAGGAGTTTAAACTAGATGATTTTGGTCCTCATCCTGAAGATTTTGTTCACGTTTGCTCTAAGCTGTCCCTTTGTTAAAAAGTAGTATGTTATTTACACAAAACCTATATTGTATACTTAAAATAAGCCACATCTGATCTATGTTTTGTGAGGCGTTGCAGAAAAAAAAATCTCGAATAGGTAGTTTGTCCCTCCGCGCTTCCACTACAAAGTGAAAACAAGGAAGTAGAATGTATAATGGCAAAAAAGAAACCAAAGAAAAACACAGGAGTCGTCATTGGGGAACCGAAAAACCCGAAAAACATGACACATTTCGAGGGGATTAATAATAGTTTCCGTGCTGTTATCGCTTTACTAGTAGCTGTTTGCGTCGTACCCCTGACAGCAGACGTTTTAACTCGTGAGTAAATAAATGTCAACATGTTTTAGCTGGTTGTTTAGCAGCTTGCTAATGCCGACTAAATAAATAAAGCTGCCTAAAAATAAACGACCTTTTCCCTCATGTTTGTATCACTGCAGCACTGTGTAAAAACGACTAAATGCTCGGGTTAAAATTAAAGCTGTTAGCTTGTAGCTAAATCAGCCTTTAGCACAAAACAGGCATTTAAACTTCCCTCTAGGGATGTTTTATGGATTATCCCAGCATGTGATCTTCTAGCTCAGCAGCCCTTCTCACATGCTTTCCTCATCCGGACGGGTTAGAGGCTGTGAGTTAGCCACCAATCATCGGTATGAATTACAATATTTAAATCGTTAAACTCAAAATAAAAACTTAAATATGATCCAGAACCTTTTTAGGATCTTCGTAAACACTAAATCAAGAGGTTTGACGTTCTGCGCATGTGCATTGGATTCTATTTTTGGACCCGGATAACAACAACAATTAGATTTTTGATCATCTGAGTTATTCTGTGGCTCGGATTTGATTAGTTACAGAGTAGAGGATTGGAGGCTGCACAAACATCTACACAGTCACGGTTTTCACGCATCAATCGATTTGTTTATGGATTTCAGCTGATCTGCCCCGTCTCGTTGTGTCTTAACTGCAGCTGATTTCAGTCATCAGAGGCGTTTAGACCTGAAGATGGATGAAGCACTTCTGAGAGTCAACAATGAGCTGGATTCTGATGTTCTGGTGACCTGGAGGTCAGAGCGTTGCTACCAGGTAGGCTGAAGCTCAGCAGATACTCTCCTAAGTGTGTGTGTGTGTGTGTGTGTGTGTGTGTGTGTGTGTGTGTGTGTGTGTGTGTGTGTGTGTGTGTGTGTGTGTGTCTGATCTTGATTTTGATTTCCCTCCATTTTAGTGTTCCTACCAGCAGCTTGGAGTGATACCAGCCCGGCCCAGCCCTGGTCAGTCCAGCTCGGTTGACTTCACTGTTAGCACCCAGCATGCCATAACGCTGCAGCTCAACAGCACACCTGATACCCTGGAGCTCTGCAAGTATGTTTATGAACACAATCGTTTCATTTGTATGCACCAGCATGAGGCTTCTATGATAAACAAAGGCTGAGTTGTGCAGACTTTGTACTTTTCTTTGTAGGAAATGACATGTTTGTTTTATCTGATAGATCACAACTTAATGAATGCTATTGTGTGCCAAGTGGATGTTTTCTTGCAAAACCAGCTGAATGTTCTAATGATCTACATGATCTAAATGAGCATTTCTCTTCTGTTTGTCTCGTGCTTTGACCAAATGTATTGCTTCCCAGGCTGCGGTTCCACTTTGGGGAGCATGGGAACTACTCTCTGTGGATGAAAAATTTGACCAATTCTTCACGCTGCTCCATAGTGACGGATGCTGACCCTGTGAACAGCTACATACGTGAGCGTTTACAACACAAATGCGTGTATAAATAATATACATTTGAGTCACATGATCACACGCCAGATGTTTTGAACGCTGTTGTGTTTTAATCACTTGTTCTTTTTAACACAGCAATCTTGGTTGCTTTTGCCATCTATGTTGGATTAGCCTTGATGTTTCTTATTGGAAGAAAAATACTAGGGTAAGTTGATTTTAAAGTTTTTGATCCTTTGATGTCAGCTTTTCCTGTTGTTGTGGATAGGAATTCACCGTGTTGGATGAGGCTGTTGTTAGGTTAGTTTTTCCTGACCGATGACCAGAACAACAGCGCTGCCATGTTTAGTCTGGTTTTAATAACAGGATAACCAAACACGGGCTCATGGTGGTCTCTGATTAACCCTCCACGCCCTCTGACGTCTAACTTCCAGATGAATCAGAACTAAAACAGCTTCATGTAAAATGGAAAAGAAAATAATTATTTTTAAATTTCCCAAAGTTGGAGCCCAGATTTTCTTTATACTTTTCTTTCTCTGACTTTCCTGTAATATTTTAGAGTTGACCACTTTCTTCAAACTTTTGATGGTATGTTAAAGTTTTTTTTTTTTTTTTGGCTGGTTAACACGTTCCACACGTTCCATGGGTTTTCTTCCACATGTACAGCTGCACCTGGCTGCTCTATCACAATGTATTAGCTTAAAGTGCAAGTCTTTTGTTCCTTTATCCAGTTTTTCTTCAAAGATTGTGCTGCATGAAGTCAAACTGAAAGATATCAGTAACTAAGTAATAAGTCATGCACATAATGTAATCATCAGCCACCTCAGCAGAAACTGGCAGGTCATAGAAAAAAGACTGACCCAGTTACAGGGAGTGCAGAATTATTAGGCAAGTTGTATTTTTGAGGAATATGATAAATGATAAATGACCCGCACTTGTATAGCGCCTCTCAGAGTAAGGACTCCAAAGTACTTTACACTACAGTGTATCATTCATCCATTCACACACACATTCACACACTGGTAGTGATAAGCTACAATGTAGCCACAGCTGCCCTGGGGCGCACTGACAGAGGCGAGGCTGCCGAGCGCAGGTGCCACCGGTCCCTCAGACCACCACCAGCAGGCAAGGTGGGTTAAGTGTCTTGCCCAAGGACACAACAACAGAATTCTCTGTCCGGAGCCGGGATCGAACCTGCAACCTTCCGATTACTGGACAACCCGCTCAACCTGTTGAGCTACTGCTGCCTCCGAATAATTTTATTATTGAACAACAACCATGTTCTCAGTGAACCCAAAAAACAAATTAATATCAAAGCTGAATGTTTTTGGAAGTAGTTTTTAGTTTTAGCTATTTTAGGGGGATATCTGTGTGTGCAGGTGACTATTACTGTGCATAACTATTACAGCCTAGTGAACGAGACCAAATTCTTGCTTTGCAAAGAATGGTCAAGGCACGCTCCATTGGAACCTCCGCAGCTCCTACCAGGACTCTGGCTAGCCAATCACAGCTCTCTAGAGGGGTTTCAAACACATAAAGAGCTGTGATTGGTCCATAATGGTGGGCCAATCATAGTGCTCTATCTGCTTAGTGAACAAATCACAGAGCTTTATCCGTTTTGTGGGCCAATCAGGGCACTCTATATGCCTGGTGGGTGGGATGATGCAACAGAGTGAAACAAGAGTATGGCCGTGTTCGAGTTGAGCTGCACCTCGCCTGGAAAACAGACGAGAGCAGACGGACGCAGCAGGGGGAGGGGCTGAAAGTCAGCGTTTAAGTCGGACAGATTTCCCTACATGTGTAGCTTGGGGGTGACGATGGCTGAAGATATCGCGTTAGAGTTCATACTTGTTTAATTTTCAGTTGTAATTCTGGTGCCTGTTAGCAGCTGAAACACATCCTCACGTGCTTGTGGATATATATTGCATATGAAGACATGACTGTAATAATTATTATTAATAAGTAAAGGTTATCAGCTGTAGGTTTAGTGTGCTCATAGGAAATGTGACAAAAGAACACAAAACACATTTCTCTTTGTGGCCTATATAGTTGTCATCATCAACATAACATGATTTACAAATACGTGTGACCAACTAACATTTCCTGTTCTACCACCGGATGTTTAGATCAAAATATGAACCAATCAGATCTTAGATCAGGTGAGGGCCGGGCGTTTCCCGTCATCCCCTAGGTTTTGCAGGCGGTGGAGAGCAACTGCAGCGCCTTGCTCCAAAATCTGCGGCCGCCTTGATCTCACGAGGTTATCGTTGCCTACGTATGCATGACGTCAGAGCAAGTCGGCATCAAGTCGGACACAAATCTAACCGGCATGCACTGCTCGCCGATCACCGGTGATCTAATCTGCACAGAACTGGCTCATGTCGAACAAGGCCTCTGTCACATTCATTGTCCAGTGGAATGCGGAGATCATTTGAAAGACAACGGTAGAACCCGCCCCACAACCGAGAGCCGTCAATGGAGCGTGGCCAGACTAAATAATACATTTATTTAGTCTGGCTTTCCAGGCTATAATTATTAAGCAACTTAACAAAAAAACAAATATTTACCCATTTCAGTTATTTATTTTTACCAGTGAAGCCAATATAACATCTCCACATTCCCAAATGTACATTTCTGACATTCGAAAACAATACAAAAACAAATCAGCGACCAATATAGCCACCTTTCTTTGCAAGGAACTCAAAAGCCTGCCATCCATGGATTCTGTCAGTGTTTTGATCTGTTCACCATCAACATTGCGTGCAGCAGCAACCACAGCCTCCCAGACACTGTTCAGAGTGGTGTACCGTTTTCCCTCCTTGTAAATCTCACATTTGATGATGGACCACAGGTTCTCAATGGGGTTCAGATCAGGTGAACAAGGAGGCCATGTCATTAGTTTTTCTTCTTTTATACCCTTTCTTGCCAGCCACGCTGTGGAGTACTTGGACGCGTGTGATGGAGCATTGTCCTGCATGAAAATCATGTTTTTCTTGAAGGATGCAGACTTCTTCCTGTACCACTGCTTGAAGAAGGTGTCTTCCAGAAACTGGCAGTAGGACTGGGAGTTGAGCTCGACTCCATCCTCAACCCGAAAAGGCCCCACAAGCTCATCTTTGATGATACCAGCCCAAACCAGTACTCCACCTCCACCTTGCTGGCGTCTGAGTCGGACTGGAGCTCTCTGCCCTTTACCAATCCAGCCACGGGCCCATCCATCTGGCCCATCAAGACTCACTCTCATTTCATCAGTCCATAAAACCTTAGAAAAATCAGTCTTGAGATATTTCTTGGCCCAGTCTTGACGTTTCAGCTTGTGTGTCTTGTTCAGTGGTGGTCGTCTTTCAGCCTTTCTTACCTTGGCCATGTCTCGGAGTATTGCACACCTTGTGCTTTTGGGCACTCCAGTGATGTTGCAGCTCTGAAATATGGCCAATCTGGTGGCAAGTGGCATCTTGGCAGCTGCACGCTTGACTTTTCTCAGTTCATGGGCAGTTAGTTTGCACCTTGGTTTGTCCACACGCTTCTTGCGACCCTGTTGACTATCTTGAATGAAACGCTTGATTGTTCGATGATCACGCTTCAGAAGCTTTGCCATTTTAAGACTGCTGCATCCCTCTGCAAGATATCTCACTATTTTAGACCTTTCTGAGCCTGTCAAGTCCTTCTTTTGACCCATTTTGCCAAAGGAAAGGAAGCTGCCTAATAATTATGCACACCTGATATAGGGTGTTGATGTCATTAGACCACACCCCTTCTCATTACAGAGATGCACATCACCTAATATGCTTAATTGGTAGTAGGCGTTCGAGCCTATACAGCTTGGAGTAAGACAACATGCATGAAGAGGATGATGTGGACAAAATACTCATTTGCCTAATAATTCTGCACTCCCTGTATAGAAACAGCCTCCGTAGAAATGTCGTCATTTAGAAATGAATAAAAATATAAAATGTAAGACGGATGGATGAGTTTCCTTCCTGCCATGCAGACGTAGAACTGAGTCATGAGAGATGTGTCCCTTGTCCGCGGTGTCTCATGAGTGGTGGTGTCGTTTCTCACCCAGGCTCAGTGCTGTGAGGGGTCTGGTCTTCAGATTTAGTGGTTCCATGGAGACGGAGAGACTTATTAATTCTGTAAGTGTTTCAGAGCTGGAGATCGTTAGAATGAACCTGCAAACTCATTAGTCATTAAGCTATTTTCCTGATGTCAAACAGAAACATCATTGAAGGATTTTCCGTGTTTAACGTCTGATTTTTATCCAGTGCATTAAATTCTAACAGAACAACGTTCCCGTCTACTTCCAGGAGCTGGGTTACCCTCGGATAGAGTCACCAGTTACTGACAGCATCTCCCCAGTCCCAGCCAGCACCAGCAAAAGGCTTCGTTCTGTCGACACGTTCAGAGGGTGAGACCTGCTCCTTTCTGTCTGTCCTCATCAGTCCGACTTATAAAAGCGAGACGATGGAGTCACATATTAGTGCTCCTGTTAAAGGTGTGGTTCACTGAAAGAACACTTTTTAATGATTATTTCTGATTATATTCAGTCACTCTGAGTTTTTCATGCAGACTGAACATGAAAATAGTCTCCTACACCTATCTCCTGCTTTAGCTTCTAATAGAAAATAGACTGTGAAACTCTAGGATTAGAAAAACCGGACAGATCTACGTCACACTGCCACTTAACGTTTATGGACTCGCTTATTTTAACTCACAACGGGGCTGGAAGCATCCAGGAAACAGCAGAGAACTTTTAGCTAGTAGAAGCTAACTGCTAGCATTAGCAACTCCACCACATGGCAGAACTCCTCCATGCTTGTGTTATTAAACATCAACGTTGCAGAGCAAACAGAGTCATGACTGTTAGCCTGTTAGCCAATCAGAAACGAGTTCTGCTGTCTGATGCTCGGCTCTAATGTGGCATTCTGCTAGTTCCTGAAAATGGTGCGTCGGTGTTTTGTTTCCCCAGAGTACGACACAAAAGGTATTCGTTCCTACTAGAGACCGCTGCAGGTGAACCACACTTTTAACAAAATCGTGGATTTTCTTAACCGACTCATAGATTTATCTTTAATGGTGTCGTAATTTGGTTCTTATTGTTTTGGTTCAGGATCTCCCTGGTTATTATGGTGTTTGTGAACTATGGAGGGGGTCGATACTGGTTCTTCAGACATGAGAGCTGGAACGGTGAGCCTCGCCTTTCCTCATTTCCAGTTTTTAGATCCGAGTCACAACTCCGTCTTTATTCGCCATGTGTCTCTTCACAGGTCTTACGGTGGCAGATCTTGTTTTCCCTTGGTGAGACCGATTTAGACTCCTTAGCATCTCTAACCGTGCTTTCGTGTTTATCTAAAAAACTGCAGTAATTATCAACCTGAATGTATTTTTCTGCCTTTTGTCTACGAGTAAAATGTAGGGATGCACCGATGGATCGGCATTTGATCGTAATCGGCCGATAGCGCCCCTATCGGTTTTGATCGGAGTTTTCAAAATAGATCAAAGCAGACCGATCAGGTAGGGTTGTCACGGTAACCAGTGTAGCGGTAAACCCCGGTAAAAAAAAAAGTTGACAATAATATTAACCGTCTTGTTTTTTAAAAAACTATATTATCTGGGTGGGTTTACCGTGGCTGCGGTGTAGGCGCGGTGACCCTTACCAGCCACCGTATCATCTGCTGAAGTTGCCGGCGGCACATGCGCACTTTGTTGTTTGCAACCAAAACTTTGTTGAAGCTAAAGGTGAAATAATGGCCAAAGGAGGAGACGCCAGCGCTCAGGAGGACATTTATTATCCCTCAAAGAAGACAAAGTGGGAAGTACGGGCATCTTTTGGATATTTGAAGAATGCCGAGGGACAGCTGATAGAAGACAGCTATCCTGTTTGCAGCACGTGCAGAAAAAGTGTCTGTGAAAGGCAGCAACGCTTCAGATCTCATGACACATCTGCGTGACCATCACCCACAACTCTACAGTCAACGCAAGGCAAGCTAACGTTAGCGTTTTAGCTAAAATGCGTGATCCGAGGATTTGGGTCGAGGGAGAATGCAACGAGTCGCTATATAAAGCAGCCGCAGTGCCGCTACCTGCATATAAACCGTGTCGCGGACACCCCCATGTTGAAATGACGCTATGCATTACGGGGCTCCCAGGGGCAGATAAGAGTTGGTCTCTCTCCGAGAATAATTATGAATTTAACAATGATTACTGCCTGATGACATTTTCCCACATCTGCAAAGCTCACTGGAAGGACACAAACCGAGGACGATATTTTCCTGATATAGGGTTTATTACTCAAGTAAGGGTAAAAAAGTATCTGATTGAAGGCTACTTGAGTACTGAGTATCATCTGATCTAATATTTTTTTAAATGATGACATCAAACAGACATAAAATAAGAAGTTATGGGCAAATATTGGTATTTTAAAGACTAAAGGGGAAAAATGTAAACAAATAAACAACATAATTACAAAATAACACATTTTAGGCAAAATTTAGACACAAACTGAGGACAATATTTCCTGACATACAGGGTTTATTTAATTGTGTGAAAATGTAACACGTTTAAAAAAAATACCGCGATAATACCGAAAACCGTGGTAATTTTGGTCACAATAACCGTGAGGTTAAATTTTCACACCGTGACAACCCTAATCCAGACCATTTTAGATTAGGTTACATTTCCTTTATTCCCAGATTATGTAGTTTGTAGCACTCATTATAATGTTGTAGAAAATTTCTGGCCAATCCACGTGATCGGTATCAGTGATCAGCATTCTTTGATATTGGTATCGGTGATCGGTATCGGTGATCGACAGCAAAAAACCTGATCGGTTCATCCCTAGTAAAATGTAATCAGATGTTGTTGTTATCTGAACAAACCCGGCCTGCTCTAAAAGGCTCGAGTCTTGTTGTGCTCCACCAGGTTTGTCTTCATCATGGGGACATCCATCTCGCTCTCGGTCAGCTCCCTGCTGCGCTCCGGCTCAACCCGCTGCTCCCTGCTCAGGAAAGTCGTGTGGAGGAGCGTTCAGCTCTTCATTATTGGCGTCTTCATCATTAACCCAAACTACTGCCAAGGACCACGTACGTACGGGCAAACTGAGTGAACGAGTCTTTGGTGGAGCTCTAACTAGAGGCTGGTGTTTGTGCTCACGCTTCCAGTATCCTGGAACAACCTGCGGATCCCGGGTGTGCTGCAGCGCCTCTCCTGGTCCTACCTGGTGGTTGCCAGTCTGGACCTAACTGTGGCCAGAGGACATCTCGACGTCCTCACCACAGTCAGTCAGCAGCTCGGTTTCCCAAAACATTTGTTATTTTCTAAATATGTTGTTTTGCTGTGTTAGTTTATTGTTAATAAATGCGGCTTGTGTTTTCCAGGACTCTTGGTGGTCTCCAGGCCTTGAGGTCTTGCTGTACTGGCCTGCCTGGGTGTGTGTGCTTCTTCTGGAAGCCCTGTGGCTGTTCCTGACTTTTCTGCTTCCTGTGCCGGGTTGTCCGACGTGAGTGGAACGCGTCTGATTTGTAAAAACTGTAAAGAGGTCCTTCTTTCTGTGCTCTGCCACCAGAAGGTTTTTGTGTGTGTAGCAGTAATAAAATCTCATGAGTCACAGGATGGACATTAAGGAAAATAATTGTCGGAGGTAAATCTGCTACTGATTCCCTTTTAGAGTCGGCGTGATTTATGATTCAACCACAGCCAGTCAGTCTGGGCGAACACGGCAGTGTGCTGCAGATCTTAGAGCTGACAGCTGTCATCAACACGGATCATTCTTCTGATCGTCTCTTGTTTCGGTCCAGAGGATATTTGGGTCCGGGCGGGATCGGCGACATGGGCCGGTACTCTGACTGCACCGGTGGAGCGGCTGCTTTCATCGACCGTTGGCTGCTGGGAGAGAACCACATCTATCAGACACCGTCATCACGGGTTTGTGGAATATTTAGTTTCCATGTCAACTTCCTGTTTGACTCGCTCCACCACCGTTTTGCTCATGTTATTTCCGGTGGTTTCCATGGTAACCTTCAGGTGATTTATGCCACTCACATGCCGTACGATCCAGAAGGCATTCTGGGCAGCATCAACTCCATCCTCATGGCTTTTCTTGGATTGCAGGTTTGTCTCCATATCAGATTTGACAGGGTATCTGCAGCTTTACGGGAGCCAAATTTAAGACTTTTTAAGACCTTTTTTAAGGCCACTTTGACCAAATTCAAGCTATTTTTTAAAATTAAATTTAACCTGTAATTTCCAGCTATTGCCTGGATCCGGTGCTAACCACGTCGTGAATGTGGGATTAGCCATCCAGTTACCATTAATGTTGCACTTCCCCATGGCGCAAACTCCCACTAGCGTGCTCATCTAAAAGTAGCCCCCTTTCACAACCAACCGAATGTGTACGGTTCCACTTACGCCAGTATCATACACAAAAAATGCTGAACTAACTAGAAATTCACGAAAATTTTATAGAAATAAAAGAATCGTTTATTGGGTCTTTGGTAATTTAAGACCTTTGTAAACTATTTAAGGATTATTTGTCATTTTTAAGGAATTTTAAGGCCTTAAATTTGGAAAAGCAAATTTAAGACTTTTTAAGGACCTGCAGATACCCTGATTTGATGATAAATGAAACCACTGGACAGTAACTGCTGTACTCTTTAATCCTCCTCAGGCTGGAAAGATAATCTTACACTACAGAGAACTCCCTAGAAGCATCATGTCAAGGTTTCTCATGTGGGGCCTTTTTCTGGTAAGTCGGCCTGTTGTCCATTTAGAAATCAGCCAAAGTCCCCAGATAAAGACTCGTCAATCCAGTCGTGTTTTCTCTTTCTGCTCTAATGATAGCTTCTTTTGTCACACAGGGAGCCATATCAGCACTTTTGACCAAATGTTCCACAGATGAAGGTTTCATTCCCGTAAACAAGAACTTGTGGTACGTTGTTTTGCTTAGAAGTAACTTAAGAAGATAAAGTTTCTCTAATGCTTTCTTTTTAGTATTTATTAACATAATGTTTTATCGGGTTATTATTAACTTCCTGGGTCTGAAAGCATGCTGGACAGTAAACACATGCCACTAAATCATCGGTATATGTAGCTTAGGCTTTCAGTCATTTAAATGACTGAATTGCAGAAATACTAGTGTGTGTGTGCGTGTGTGTGTGTGTGTGTGTGTGTGTGTGTGTGTGTGCGTGTGTGTGTGTGTGTGTGTGTGTGTGTGTGTGTGTGTGTGTGTGTGTGTGTGTGTGTGTGTGCGTGTGTGTGTGTAAACTCAATATAGCAGAAAAGAATAGCAACAAATCCAGAACTCCATGGCATCAGTGCATTATAATAATACATTTTATTTAAAAACGCCTTTCAGAACACCCAAGGTCACTTGACAGAAAATACTTCATAAAATACAATAAAACAACAATAAAACCCAAACAAGAAAAAACAAAGAGAGAAACAGTTCAATACAATCAGAGGTCGTAGGCAGATTTAAACATGAGTGTTTTGAGTTTTGTTTTGAAAAGGGTAAAACTGTCGATGTTCCTGATGTCTGGGGGAAGTGAGTCCAGAGTCGAGGAGCAGAGCGACTGAAAGCTCTGCTCCCCATGGTAGCGAGACGGGCAGAAGGAACCGCAAGATGGATGGAAGAAGAAGATCTGAGTGAACGGGATGGGGTGTGAATACTTATAAGGTCTGAGATATATGGAGGAGAGAGGTTGTGGATTGCTTTGAAGGTATGGAGGAGAATTTTGAAGATGGACCTGAATTTAACTGGGAGCCAGTGAAGCTGCTGGAGAACCGGGGTGATGTGGTGAAAGGAAGGGGTTCTGGTGATAATACGGGCTGCTGAATTCTGGACCAGTTGCAGTTTATGAAGGAGTTTGTTGGGGAGACCATAAAGAAGTGAACTGCAATAGTCGAGACGGGAGGTGACGAGGCTGTGGACGAGAATGGCGGCAGTGTGAGGGGTAAGGGAGGGGCGAAGACGGTTTATGGAACGTAGATGGAAGTACGCTGACCGAATTATGTTATTAATGTGAGCTTGGCATTGGCATTCATTAGACAGTCAGATGGGCGTGCATGTTCTCCTGATGGAAGAAAAGGAGAGAAATGTGGGTGCAAAGCAACTGATGACATCATCAACAAGAGGATCACACTTGCATGTTTTCCTAATGTCTCGTTTCCACATTCATACAAGTCTATTTTAATATGTATGTTATGGTCTTGTGGCTGGAGTCACTCTACATTCAGCAGAGATTTCTGTTGTTGTCTCTTCCAGGTCTCTGTCCTATGTGACCACGCTGGCTTGTTTCGCCTTTGTGCTCTTGGTGCTGCTCTACTACACCGTGGATGTGAAGAGGTGGTGGTCTGGAGCTCCTTTCTGCTACCCGGGTGAGACTTTATCAGACATGATGGGATGGACTTTCTTTTTAGCTAGCACTTTTTAAGGCTGGATTCTACTCCTCTAACTTTTGTGTCGCTCTTATTCACGTCTCTCTGACTCAGGTATGAACTCCATCCTAGTCTACGTGGGCCACGAGGTGTTTGAGGAGTACTTCCCTTTCCGCTGGAAAATGGCCAACAGCCAGTCGCACACCGAGCACCTCACCCAGAACCTTGTTGCCACATCCTGTTGGGTTCTTATCTCCTACGTTCTCTACAAAAAGAAAATTTTCTGGAAGATTTAAGGGCCGATTCTCTAAAAGAACAACGCAGACATTGTTTACCTCAGAACTGCTGGAAATAACGTAAATTAGTATTCCGGGTTTTTTTTTTCTGTCAGTAACCTCTTTATTACATTTGTTCCAGAACTCCTGGAGTATAACATGGATTTTCTAACACGGCCCTTTGTCTTCCTAACGCTGTTATTCTGAAAGCTGGAGCAGGAGGGTTTATGAGCTCTGTCAAACACCTGCAGGATCCTCCCTTCATTTTGTGTGTCAGTCATTTTTTCCTGTTACTGCTCGAGTCCAAGCGTGTTGTCTTTGTAACTGACCCTGCTCCCTTTCGTGTCCGGAGGTGAAAGGGTTGCAGTGAGAAAGGGCATTTCAGATGGATTAAAATCTGCATTAAGGTGCTAGTTTAGCATTTCTGGTGAATGTTGAAACTGCAAGTATTTCTTTTTGTTTAATTTTTTCAAATCACAAATTTAGTCGCTGAATTGCCCTTTTTAAATCCAGATGTGTCTTTTCTTCAGTTTTGTCTGTAATTGTAAAATGATGAACTTTTGTTTTGCCAAACGTTGACCAGCCTTTGGTTGACATATTTTTAAAGCTTATTTTTGATGGAGTCTTTTCTCAGCATGACCGCCCACTGCTGACACTTTATACATGCACATCCTCTTATGATGATGACTTTATATTTGTGTTTTGGGAGAATCATTTGTCAAATATGTAGATTATTCAAATGCTGTCAGATATTGTACTGCCTTGTTTCATAATATATTTTGTCAAACTTTTATATGTCCATTTTCTAAATTCATTATTGGAAAACAAGATTATTTAATAAAGGTGATTGAGAAGTATTAAATCTGTTGTTGAGTTCATTTGGAATGGGTTCTTATGTTTGTTGTTTAACATATTTTCTGTAAAATACACCTTTTTGTTTGGAGTTTATCATGCACGTGGGTTTGTAAAATAATTTGACAGATGCTGTTTCCTCTGCTCCAGGAGTGAGCACTGGTCAGGTGGTGCCATTCCAGTGGCTGGGTAATCAAAAATGTATCATCTCTTATCGAGATAATCTTTCCCGTGTCAATAATAAATAAAAAAAATGAAAAGATGTGTCTCCTCCTTGAACCGTCACCTTATCGTGGTGGAGGAGTTTGAGTGCCCTAATGATCCTAGGAGCTATGTTGTCTGGGGCACTTAGTGCCCCTGGTAGGGTCTCCCATGACAAATTGGTCTTAGGTGAAGGGTGAGACAAAGAACGGTTCGAAGGATCTTTCATGGCGGTTAAAACGAAGAGTCGGAGTACCCGGCCCGGAGGGTTACCGGGGTCCCACCCTGGAGCCAGGCCTGGGGTTGGGGCCCGTGAGCGAGCGCCTGGTGGCCGGGCTTTGGCCCATGGGGCCCGGCTGGGCCCAGCCCGAACCGGATACATGGGCTCGTCCAACTGTGGACCCACCACCCGCAGGAGGAACATGAAGGGTCCAGTGCAATGCGAATTGGGTGGCAGACCAAGGCGGGAGCCTTGGCGGTCCAATCCCCGGACAAGAAAACTAGTTTTTGGGACATGGAACGTCACCTCGCTGGCGGGGAAGGAGCCGGAGCTTGTGGCAGAGGTTGAGCGGTACCGGCTAGATATAGTCGGACTCACCTCGACACATTGCATTGGCTCTGGAACCCGAGACCTGGAGAGGGGTTGGACACTCTACTTTGCTGGAGTTGCTCCGGGTGAGAGGCGGAGGGCTGGGGTTGGCTTTTTGTTAGCCCCGAGACTCTCTGCCTGTGTGTTGGGGTTTACCCCGGGGGACAAGAGGGTAGCTTCCTTGCGCCTTCGGGTCGGGGAACGGGTCCTGACTGTTGTTTGTGCTTATGGGCCAAATATCAGTTCAGAGTACCCACCCTTTTTGGAGTCCCTGGGACGAGTGCTAGATAGTGCTCCATCAGGGGACACCATTGTCCTGCTGGGGGACTTCAATGCTCACGTGGGCAATGACAGCTTGACCTGGAGGGGTGTGATTGGGAGGAACGGCCCACCTAATCTGAACTCGAGCGGTGTTTTGTTATTGGACTTCTGTGCAAGCCGCAGTTTGGCCATAACGAACACCATGTTCGAACATAAGGATGCCCACCGGTACACTTGGTACCAGGGCAGCCTAGGTCACAGGTCGATGATAGATTTTGTAGTCGTATCATCTGACCTGCGGCCATATGTTTTGGACACCCGAGTGAAGAGAGGGGCGGAGCTGTCAACTGATCACCACCTGGTGGTGAGTTGGATCAGATGGCAAGGGAACATGCCGCGTAGACCTGGCAGACCCAAACGCATAGTGAGGGTCTGCTGGGAACGCCTGGCAGAAGAACCTGTCAAGACGGTCTTCAACTCCCACCTCCGGCAGAGCTTTGACCACGTCCCGAGAGCAGTGGGGGACATTGAGTCCGAGTGGGCCTTGTTCCACTCTGCGATTGTCGAGGCGGCTGTTGCTAGCTGTGGTCGTAAGGTGGCCGGTGCCAGTCGTGGTGGCAACCCCCGTACCCGCTGGTGGACACCAGAGGTTCGGGGAGCCGTCAGGCTGAAGAAGGAGGCCTACAGGGCGTGGCTGGTCTGTGGGTCTCCGGAGGCAGCAGACAGGTACCGGATAGCCAAGCGGGGTGCAGCAGTGGCAGTTGCCGAGGCAAAATCTCGGGCGTGGGAGGAGTTTGGTGAGGCCATGGAGAAAGACTATCGATCGGCTCCAAAGAGGTTCTGGCAAACTGTCCGGCGCCTCAGGAGAGGAAGGCAGCAACTCGCTCACACTGTTTACAGTGGGGATGGGGAGCTGCTGACGTCAACTGAGGCTATAGTCGGACGGTGGAAGGAATACTTTGAGGAGCTCCTCAATCCCACCAATGCGCATTCCGAGGAGGAACCAGAGCTGGGAGGCCTGGGGATGGACTGTCCGATCTCGGGGGCAGAAGTTGCTGAGGTAGTCAAACAACTACACAGCGGCGGAGCCCCGGGGGCGGATGAGGTTCGTCCTGGGTATCTCAAGGCTATGGATGTTGTAGGGCTGTCATGGTTGACACGTCTCTACAACATTGCGTGGTCATCGGGGGCAGTTCCTAGGGAGTGGCAGACCGGGGTGGTGGTCCCCATCTTTAAGAAGGGTGACCTGAGGGTGTGTTCCAACTATAGGGGGATCACACTCCTCAGCCTCCCTGGAAAGGTCTACGCCAAGGTACTGGAGAGGAGGGTCCGATCGATAGTTGAATCTCAGATAGAGGAGGAGCAATGTGGTTTTCGTCCTGGCCGTGGAACTGTGGACCAGCTCTATACCCTTGCAAGGGTGATGGAGGGGGCATGGGAGTTTGCCCAACCAATCCACATGTGCTTTGTGGATTTGGAGAAGGCTTATGACCGTGTCCCCAGGGGCACCCTGTGGGGGACGCTCCAGGAGTATGGGGTGGGTGGCTTTCTGTTAAGGGCCATTCAGTCCCTTTACCAGAGGAGCGTGAGTTTGGTCCGCATAGCCGGTAGTAAGTCGGACCTGTTCCCAGTGAGGGTTGGACTCCGCCAGGGCTGCCCTTTGTCACCGGTTCTGTTCATCACTTTTATGGACAGAATTTCTAGACGCAGCCGTGGTGTGGAGTGTGTCGAGTTTGGTGGCAGGAGAATCTCGTCTCTGCTTTTTGCGGATGATGTGGTCCTCCTAGCTTCATCCAGCTCTGACCTTCAGCTCTTGCTGGGTAGGTTCGCGGCTGGGATGAGGATCAGCACCTCCAAATCTGAGACCATGGTTCTCGACCGGAAAAGGGTGGCTTGCCACCTCCGGGTCGGGGGAGAGGTCCTACCTCAAGTGGAGGAGTTTAAGTATCTCGGGGTGTTGTTCACGAGTGAGGGTAGGAGGGATCGGGAGATCGACAGGCGGATTGGTTCGGCGTCTGCAGTGATGCGGACGCTGAGCCGATCTGTCGTGGGGAAGAGGGAGCTGAGCCAGAAAGCCAGGCTCTCGATTTACCGGTCGATCTACGTCCCAATCCTCACCTATGGTCATGAGCTCTGGGTAATGACCGAAAGAACGAGATCGCGGATACAAGCGGCCGAAATGAGTTTCCTCCGTAGGGTGGCCGGGCTCAGCCTTAGAGATAGGGTGAGGAGCTCGGACATTCGGGAGGGACTCGGAGTAGAACCGCTGCTCCTCCGGATCGAAAGGAGCCAGTTGAGGTGGTTTGGGCATCTGGTCAGGATGCCTCCTGGACGCCTCCCCGGGGAGGTGTTTCGGGCATGTCCTGCCGGCAGAAGGCCCCCGGGTCGACCCAGGACACGTTGGAGAGGTTACATCTCCAATCTGGTCCGGGAACGCCTTGGGGTCCTGCCGGAGGAGCTGGTGGACAAGGCCGGGGAGAGGACGGCCTGGAGCTCCCTAATTGGGATGCTGCCCCCGCGACCCGGACCCGGATAAGCGGAGGAAGACGAAGACGAAGACGAAGAAAAGATGTGTGTAGGTTGGCCAAGTTCATGTATTTTTAAGAATCTGTACCCCCTTGAGTCACGTAAAAATGTGACTCAATGTAACACATGTGACAGCCCCATCTAGTGGACAACTTTTGTTTCTGCGCATACCTGTAGTTAACGTCCATTTATCGTTATCGAGGTGAAATCCTCAATATATCGTGATATTGATCTTAGGCTATATCACCCAGCCTTAAAGTGGACTCTTCTGATTAATTAGACTTGGAATTTTATGTTTTAATTTTGAGGGTAAAAATGTATTGTGCACACTGTGCTTGATAACAAAATGCTACGTTTATGTTCTCATACAATGCTGGACAAACTTCGCCCCTTTTGTCAAATTAAGGGGTATTACACAAACGTTTTCAAAAACTCATAATTAATTTTTGGTTAAACGTTTTCACCAAGAGAACAAGGTTCAACTTTGTTTTTAAATAATTAACAGTGTTTAATTTTGCAAGAATGGTTCTGGTTTATAAATGCGTAATGAAGACAAAAAACTGCCACAAGCATGAACACACCACCTGTAAATATAGAAGTCTTAACTTTTGCTCTGTATAATTAACAACGTTTATTGTTTTATTCTGATCTATAGTAAATACTATCTGATGAATGAAAACAATTTTCCAAATGAAAACTGTCGTGAATGTGAACATGCTAAGGTTTCATCTTACCTTGCTGCAGCCGCAGTCACTACAAAACACGGCCCCATGTGCTTGTTCAGCTCCCCTGGTGGTCAGAAAAGGGAAATATATCAACACTGGCAGCCCTCCCAACGAGCGGGGAGAGCTTAAACATGGGTCGGATTCTGTGGCGCGGTATGGGGGCCAAAATTAAGACTACTGCCCAGCAGCAGGAGGCTATATAAATTCTGAAGCAAACTACCAACCTGATTAATGATAAGTTGGCGCCGGTAACTGAGAGGCTGGCGCTGCTTACTGAGGAATAGCACCTTTACTGGCGTTACTAATAGATACGCTAGGGACTAGCAGCTCTCGGCTGGTCATTGACTGGTTCACACACTCCCTCTGCTGTCTACTAGCATGGATAGGCTAGCGTTAGCCTGGACGGGCTGGTGTTAGCATTGGAGAGGCTAGCCATTAGCGTGCTTAAATGGTAAATGGTAAATGGCCTGTATTTGATATAGCGCCTTCTAGAGTCCTGGAACCCCCCAAGGCGCTTTACAACACAATCAGTCATTCACCCATTCACACACACATTCACACACTGGTGGGGATGAGCTACTAGCTGGATTTCCTACCCCCTCGACGGACCATTAGCATGGATAGGCTGACAATAGCATTGGAGAGGCTAGCAATTAGCGTGCCTAGGCTGGCTACTAGCTGACTAGTGACTCTCCGAGACATGCTAAT